CGTCACGTTGGCACATTTCACTTCTTTCTTTCAGAATGAGGCGGAAAGTATTAAAAGAGGTGAAAATCACTCCAAGTCTGGGCATGTTGAGAGCTGTACATACACACAAGGGGAGTTAGACGGTTCTGTAAGAGCCAGCATGCGGGACCGGGATTCTGGGATTTGTAGTCTTTCTAGTTGCGTATTTTTCATAGTCTTATATTTCAACAGTTTTACGACAAACTGTGACTTTTTTGACATGGAAATGGTTTTTTAAGATTGACAAACATCATATGTGTAATTCGTGGCACAATTCAAACTGGATAGAGATAATCTTTCTCTCTCCATTGACTTCAATACATATTTTTTCCGAAATAAGGTCCCATGGAGGTCCCCCGCCTCTCTATAGGATTTATCACGAAGTAAGAGCTGATTTCACTTAAAGAGGAATGTATTACGTACATCACACAGATCTTTACAGCTAAGACTTAGTTCCCCTTCTGTTTTTACACGTTATATCAAAATAGTAGCTTTAGGCTATGTCTGAGGAGCGTGGGCTCTGAGACTGAGAGGTCTCAGTGAGTCAGTGAGTGCTCGCTGTGTGTCATGTGATGCATCAAGCGTACCTTTTTCAGACTTTATTTCTTCCTTTTTAGGAAATGATCGACGAGGCAGACCAGGACGGCGACGGTGAGATCAACGAGATGGATTTCATGAAGATAATGAAGAAGACCAATCTTTACTGAGCGTGTTACGGCCTTCCTCTGAGATTCACTTTTGAGTCTAAAACCCTTTTTACAGAAGCTCTTTTTCTCGGGACAGATTTGTGTAGTTTGTGAATAAATATTTTAACATACTGTATCTTTGCACAGCTTTTTCTACAATGCAAGGCAATAAAATGTATTTCAAAACATGTTCATTTCGTCTGTTGTGTTTAAATTGAACCTCCCTCAGATTCATATTGTCTGGATTTACAGACAGACAGACCTCGGGGAACAGACAGTGAAAGTTGTGTGACTCAGCTTGTGTTGACTAGCTTCGATTATTTTACTGTAGACACAAATGACAAACTAGACTTGGGATGAGTAACTCGAACTAAAGTCACTCTCACTTCAGCTTTTCTGTTACTGAACTAAGTCTGCGGTAGAACTCTCTAATGTGATCGCATTATAGGAAAGCGCTCCTGCTGATAATTATAATCTACAGAAGAAGACTTTTACTTTATTTGCTTTGAGTGAACACACTGGCTCTCTTTTAAACCGTGCAATACAGACAAGAGTTAGGCTGCAAAACCAGTGCAATATCTAACTCTGCAAAATTCATATATGTATTTTATTAGTACGAATTCACCACTGTGTATTTTATCATGCACATTTCTACATATTATTTTACATATTAAATATTGATTTAGTCTTTGTTAAGACAGACTTTAGTTTTGTAGCACAATGTGCATGTTAACTCTAAACTCCTATTTTTATATACATATTCTAATTCCATTTTATTCGGGGTTTTTTCCCCCCGTTTATATGCATATTTTGTTTATTTTCTTTTATTGTGGAATGGAGCAGCCTTAATAAAACCCAATGCCCCCCCTTCAGGATAAATGAAGTATTCTGATCACTCCTATACACCGATACTGCAAACCCCATACTTTTGTAAATAAACAGGATATTGTAGTGACGTGTTTTTTTTTTTTTTCCGTCTGACGGCTGCCTATTATTTTGAGGATGCTTTCCACTGATTATGAAAGTTCTGACAACTGTTTTTGAAAGTGGAAGAACATTGAGTGGAAAATATAAAAAGCGTTGGCTAAAGTTTTTTTTATATATATTCCGAAAAACAAATAAAATTGCAAGCATTGTAGGTTTCCAAAATAACTTGTTTCACAAATCCTACCTCGTACTTAGAGATATACCTGAGCATGCAAGACTCTTAAAGTCTTCACGTTTATATAGATCCCTTATATTGACGAGCTGAGACTTAATATTGCTTGAGATGAGCCAAATCAAAAGTCCAGTATTTGCAAAACTCATTTTATGTAAGCCCCTCTGACTCAGATCCATCCACCTTCTGACAGTTCAAAGTACAGCAGGTGAAACAGAAAGAGCTGAAACTCTCAGAGTGGACACAAACAAATACGCACCGTAATGAATTATGATGATGCAACCCTAACTGTATTTAAAGGGGTCCTATTCTGCTCATTTTCAGGTTCATATGTGTGTGTTGTGCCTCTACTGTGACATGTCTCCATCAACAAGCTCTTTATTTGTTCTGTTTTCACCCTCTGTCTGTAACCAGAGGCCAGTCTGCTCTGATTGGTTAGCTGGCCGGCTCTGTTGTGATTGGTCAACAATTGTCCCGCCCCTTAGCCTTTCACGTACAATGTGTTGGAGCGCTAGCCAATAGAAGTGTGATTGTTACATAGTGATGTCACTCTCCAATAGAGGCATTTCAGGCAGGAGGGAGGGGGAGGGGGGGGGGAGTTTGTGGGAGAGAAACTCCCTCTGGAGGGAACTTTTGGGATGTTAGCCTTTGCAGACCATACACGAAAACCCTAATATAAAACACTTCAGTGACATAGGGAAATCCCCAAAAAGCAGAACAGGGCCCCTTTCATTCAGTTGATATCGGGGAAACCAAAGACAATTTTCAACATTGTGGACGATAAAGTTACTCAAGCTCTTAGAGATGTCCCGCCCCTTAGCCTATCACGTATGTGTTGGAGCGCTAGAATTTAGAAGAATAGAATTGGGAGGGAAGAGACCCTCTTTAATGGTCACACATGCAGAGCACACAGCACACACAGTGAAATGTGTCCTCTGCTTTTAACCCATCTTAGTACCAGGAGTCTAGTACTAGGAGCAGCTAGCTAGCCAATAGAAGTGTGATTGAGCCCCTTAGCCTATCACGTACAACGTGTTGCAGAGCTAGCCAATAGAAGTGCAGCTGTTCCATAGTGATGTCACTATCCAATAAAGGACTCCAATAGAGGCATTTCAGGCGGGGGGGGGACATTTGGGATGTTAGCCTTTGTAGACCATTTACATACACTAAAACCTAAAACACTACAGTGAAAGGGAAAAACCCCAAAAGCATATTAGGGCCTCTTTAATTCATGTTGATATCGGGGAAAAGCAAGGCACGCACAACCAAAATCAGTCGGTAAAAGCAGAATTTGAACACTGTTTCTGTGCTCCTACAATATTCTTTTTATTTACTGTTTCGTGCAACATTTCAATCAACCAGATATTCAACATTGTGGACGATAAAGTTACTAACTAAATAACTAACTAAATAACTAAATACTTCAACAGCTGTGCAGCACAAAGATCGGAAGACCTTCATTTAATAAGAAACATATTTCAGTTTTGAGAATAATTCATCACCAAGCAGCGAGAGAGTGCTTTAGCTGCACCAAGCAGTCATTTTGGAAGAGTAGGTGTTGTTAACGCGCTGGATCTCTGATTTTAAAACATAACTTTCCAATTAGAGTTTGATGTTTTGGTACCCGGCAGTTTCATGGCCTTTAATATCCTCTCAGCCCCTCAGCTGTTATTCCCCTGCTGCTGTGGTTTAAGCTAACAGTCGTCTCATACTCCCACTGCTCTGCCGCTGCTTTACTTTTCCCATAAAATGATCAATTTCCAAAACACCAATTCGCTGCAAGTGTGGTCGTTGCTGGTAAAAGATGATTTTGTTATTAGCTCTAAAAGGTCAAGGATGTGTCACCATGGTGTAGACAACCTATTCACAAGCCCCCTTTGAGTAAGAGGAGCTCAGACGAACTGAAAACCCTCACTGCGTAGAAGCAGAAGAGTCGCTGCAGCCGGGGTATGTTGGCTTTTAAGAAATATTTATTATGAATAGATTTAAAACACATCTGACTGTTAAAATGGTAGATATATAACTTTTACAGTATGGGGGGGAAGCATGTGCTTGTGGGTATCTGTTGTTTATTCCGATCTGTTAAAATAACTATTGTTTTGCTTGTTTGTTTATATAAACCTTTGTAACCCCAGGGCTAAAAGGACTTTAATACGACAGGAGGTGTTGCTATATATTGTGTCTAATCCTTCTCCTCCTCTTCATACGTTATTGTTGCACACCTGGCACATTCACATGTCTCGCATTGTAACGCTCGACCTGCTGTTCCACCCACCTTCAAAACCTTTGAGAGGATGAGGTGTGCACACATTTTGAAAATACCTTTGGTTTAGAAGGAGGTTTTTAAAAACATCCTCTTAGACTTTAGTACAAACCAAAATATATATTACAATGTATGATAAGTGTGGGGGAAACACCCAATATAACACCTTGAGTTGGTCTACGTTTTAAAACAACCCTGTGTGTTTTAGTGGACAGCTTTTATCATGCTTATAGTATGAGGATATTTAACATGCATGAGGAGGTATCAGACACTTACATGTATCCGCTTTGTAGGAGTTGCTTCATAGTTTTTAAGAAGGATCTCTTAGGACTCCGTTTTTTAAATGCATTTGGATGAAAACTCATATTTTTTAAGTCTCTAATAACTTAAATCAGGCAGCAATGTGTTCTGTGTCAGTGTCAGCCTTTTTTTGAATAGTCTGGTTCAACAGGCTCATTTGGCTGCAGCGCACTGGCTTTCATCTTCACTTCTCATTACTCTACAGTGGACTAAATCGATTTTTTAAATAATTATAACAACCAATATTGCATTAAAGGGGTTCCAACAACTTGACGAACCAAATAAAAACCAAGGAAAATCGTTATATTTTTAACAAAATGAAGTAAAGACAGATTTAATCATCTGACAGCCCTCTTTATTTTCTCAACCCCTTCGCACCACAGGGACCTGTTCATCTAGCTTTGTTAAATGTACGGAGACTTTAATCAGGCTGTGGCAGGTCGACATCATTTCTAGAAAAATAGCTGAAAGTGACTTCAAGGAAATTTCGGCTTGAAATCCGACACGCAACCAATGCTTTTACACGCGTGTTTAGATAAAGAAACTGTGGGTGTGCTAACACTTTCAGGTGACGGATTAAACACATTTTTTGTGATCAGATAACATCGATAAGTCACTTCAAAATAACAGCATTCAATTCAGCAACTTTAGGTATTTTCTGATAACAATTCATTTGTTAAAACTACATTTGATAGATTAATATGGAAGACAAACAAGCCGGCATTCACACTTGCTTGGATTATTATTTTATAAATTCACTTTAACATGATTTAGTAGACTAACTTTTATCACAGTACATTTAACTCTCATACGCGCAAAAATAAATAATAATAATAATCTACACTGCATTCAAATTCTGCCCCC